ACTGCATCGGCGTTGCTAGGCTGCGGTTACTGTGTACGGATAGAGTCCAACGGACACAGCTTCCCAGCCAGACCCCAGTGGTGGTGGAAAGCCTATTCGTAGAGATAATGAGCCGATTTTTTTGCTTTTGCCATGCGAACTGCGAGTCACCCGTGGGCTGTACCATCAGCCCTCAGAGAGACCGCAGGAACTCGCAGCCTGGCTACCACATCCGCAGGAGAGACTTAAAAAAATATCCACAGAGCTGCCTGTGTTGGAGATGTCAGGAAGGTCCAGCGAGTACTCTTCCTGAGGCAGAATGGCCTGGATGAGCGTGATAGAAAGAACAGGTCACAGGGGTGGCAGGACAGGGCGGGGCGGGTCTGGGAGGGGCCGGGGGCTGGGGGCCAGGCCCAGCTGTTAGTTTCCCTCTGAGGCTCCTGGAAACCAGCGTGGGGTCCAGTGCCCAGCAAACTTTATAGGCGGCTAAAGCTTGAACTGGTTTTGGACCCACTCGTAATTCCCCTTAGAGAGCACTTTCCTGACAGTTTTTCAGTGACTTAACTGCATGTCAGTAATAATAGAAACCAAATTAAACATAAAGATAAAATGGCATCTTATTTCGAATGTACAGTTTTATATACAGGAAGGTGTGTAATGAGAAAAGTAATTCCCGTGATCGATGAGCCTCTGGGATAAAACTTCTTAGGGGAAAATTCAAGATCCATTTTATATCAGTGTACACGTTTGTACATGCGTTCTTCACTGAAGGACCTTAGAGGACAACTTTGAAGTGGGGAGATAGCTGTGCTCTTGAACAGGTGGACTCATTTTCTTAAGATGTGTGGTCTTCCCATGTTTATTCAGTTTTCCATAAACCAAGTAAACATATCAGAGTTTTTAAAAACTTTGAGTTACGCATGCTGTTTTGAATTCTTGTGATGAAATTCAAATTTCTCTGTAGTAGACAAAAGACAAAGCTTTGCCGTTCTAGATATCAAAATGTGCTGTAGATTTCCACAGATTACTGATTTACCAACAGTTGGAAAAACAGATAAATGAATGGAACGGAACATGCCCAAACACCCAAGTCTATGTAAGAGTTTAAAACTTATTACTGATGAAATTTCCTTTAAGGAAAAGTGAAGTTATTCATGAATGGTGGAGAAATAATCTATTTGGAGAAAAGTAGCTAGATTTTTATCTCACAAACAAGTGTCAGATATATAGAATAACATTTTTAAATATAGAAAGTGAGAAAAGTAACGGAAGAAAACATAAATTCCTGTCTATACATTTTTTTATGCTGACAAAGACATTCCTAAGAAGGACTTCAAAAGCAAGAATTCTGGAGGTTGATTTAACAACATAAAAAAAAATTAAACCTCTGTAGATTAGAAAATAATATTAACCAGAGGAAAAAAAATGTACTTTTAAAAGATGTGCAGTGTATTTGTGTCAGATGAAATCTTCATTTTTACTGGCAAGTCTTTGAAAGCAACAAGCAAAAATAGCCCCTAATTTGAAATTGGGCAAAGTACAATTTTTTCATGTCTATTAGTGACCAATAGATAACAGGTAATAGATAAAAATATTTAATATCTCTGGTCAGAAAAGAAATTTAAGTGAACAGAAATGAAATATCATTTTCCCTTCACAAAATTCGTCCAGATGAAGAGCAGTGGTACTTTTACTGCTGATTCAAGTTTAAGTTGCTTTTGAGTTTGAAAGAGACAGTTTCCTGATAAGTACTACATTAAAAAATGTGTATTCCCTTTACACATGAATGGTATTTATATGAATGAGAGATAAATAATTAGAGCTAAATTAGAAAAAAAATAGCATGCAACTTATTTTTCTCAAAGACTGCCTAAAACAGCAATGTATAAAGGAAAGCTCACAAAGAATTTTTAAATCAATTGCAGTGCATTTGGTATGGAGCCATCTTTGACCATGGAAGGTGGCATAGATAATAGATGTTTGTTGACTTGCAGAGATCTCCTTTTGAAGATCATTGGAAAACAGAAAAAAATCAATTTTATTATATAAAACCCAAGAAGGCTATGGTCTTCTCTTAGCCAAAACTATGTACACAGGTGTGATAAAAATATAGTTCTGGGCATTTGCATTTTATGTGAAGGTTTTCCTTTTAAAAAATCTGATTTCTACAATGAGGAAGTACAAATTCTAGTAAATGTTTCTTATGAATGAAATACTCCTGGGAAAGAGCAAGAATATGAATCTTGCACAGATAAAAATGATTTCTCACTTTCTATTTTGTAAATGTTTTTGAGGATTTGAATCTTGAGACAACTTCTAGCCTCTTCACAAGTAAAGGGAATCTTCTTATCTGTGCTTGTAGATTTTACTAGGAATATATTATATGCCCAAATTTTGGAATATATGTAGCTTTATTATGTATCATATGTTAATGATTATATAGTAATCATTTTGCATTCTTATGGAAATAAAAAATAGTAAATATGAATGATTATTACTGTTGCAAAAGTTTGTAAAATTTTAGGTGTGTCCTTATGACAAGAAAGTCAAAAATAGCAATGTCAATGAGGGTTCCTATTGCAAAAGTATTGCTTTTCTTTATAAAAGAGTTCTTAAAAAGATTTAA